GTTCTTTCCTTCTTCTCCTTCCCCCCCCCCTACTTCTCGTCGAGGGAGAGAGAGAGGGGAGGTTGGGGGGGCAAAATGGGCCTTCGTACGTACCGAGAGCCGTAGGGCTTCAATCGATGCCATGTTCTATCTACAACAAAGATCCGTACATTGTGTACGTAGATAGATATATGCATATGCACTTGCAATGAGCTCACAAGAGCCGATAGTGCGTGTGTCGGTCAGCTCGTGCGTCTGCGAAAGATGGGAAAAGTAAAGAGACGAAGCAGCAAAGCAGTGCCGCTACACAGCGGAAAGAAGACTCGTAAGATTCAACGGTCACTAGGCTATCGAAGCAGGAGAAGGAAGCACGGAAAAAGGTAACGGCAGTCCCATTTCGGGGTATCGACATCGCCACTGCAAAGAAAGGCGGTAAGGAATGGAAAAAACCCCGAAAATCCCTCAGTCCCTGATTCCCAACACCGTTTCCACTCTATAAATTTGTTCATACCAATTACCTTTTCACTTAGCCTTGGATGCATTCGCCTGCGCCTCTTTTTCAACTTGCTGCTGCTTCTCGGCCTCCTTCATCTCCCGTACCTTTGCAAACACTATCTCTCTGAAGATAGCACCCTTCGCAATCTTGCTCAGGCTTCTCTTGCCTCCGGCGGCGTCGGCTGTAGGCGCAGCGGCAGGGGTGCTAGTCTCCGAGCTCGCTCCAGCATCTTTACCTGAGAGGGCTGCTCCAGCGGCGGCTTTGGCGTCGGTGGGGACGTCGGATTGACCGGGCACGTCGTCTTCGTCATCCTCCTGCATCTTGAGCAGTTCGATGCGGTTAGCCAGCTTCACAATCTCGATGCCGCGGCGTAGGCGTGCTTTCGCAAGATATGTTTTGATCTCGGGAAGCAAGTTGTGGTCGGTTGCGTTCTCTCCGCTGAGCCAGGAGTGACGGAGTGCTTGCTGGAGATTGTCAATACTGGTAATTCTTGACAACATGAAAATGACACACACCTTGCTAGTGGATCTATCATCTGCGTCGGGTTGCAAAAGATGCCCAATGAAGTCCTTAGCATCGTCACTGACATCCTTCCAGTACCGCTCGTGGAAAATGACTCTGGCAGTGCTGCACTCCTCGATGAGCTCTTGGAGGTTCTCGCTGCGGAACGGGGAGTAACCGCAGAGCAACGTGTAGGTGATAACGCCAAGAGACCACATATCGACCGGCTTTCCATGGCCCTTCTTCAACATGACTTCGGGGGCAGCGTAGCCGAATGACCCCGCCATGGTTGTGAGTACTTCATTTTTCGAGTCCAGCATCTTTGCGATTCCGAAATCTGCGAGCACGAGGTCCGATCCGGGTTTAGGTGTTAGGTAGAGTAGGTTTTCGGGTTTGAGATCTAAGGATGCCAGACTTCAGAAACAGTCTGAACAGGATGACAAGCGGATTTACCTCTGTGGACGACATTGTTATCGTGCAGGTAATCGACGGCTTCAAGAACCTGCCGAATGGTCTGCGAGGCATCCTTTTCTGTGAACTTTCCCTGCTCGCAGATACGGTCAAACAGCTCTCCTCCAGTCGCAAGTTGGGTGACAATGTAGTATTTGTCCTGCATTGCGTCAGCTTCCTCCAGATCCAGCGCCACCTTCTAAAGCCTACCCTCGATTCAAACCAGTCTACGAACTTGACGATATGTGGGTGCTTCATCCGCTGCAACATCTCGAGCTCGTCGTAGACCATCTGCTCGTTGCCCTTGACATTCTTCTTCAGGATAATCTTCACGGCCACCTTGCCCGCAGGCCCGTCTGCCTCTCTGACGATACCATATGTTCCCGCACCGAGCGTCCGTCCGAAGCGGTACTTGGCCCTATTGACGGCTTAGCAGACTCACACGCAGCTGGGTTTGAAATGCTTTACTTTTTGTCGTAACTTTCAGGCTGGCCGTGAAGCTTGTTGAGCATATTAGAGACTGGATGGCGGGAACAAGGAGACATGGTCAGCTAACGCCTCGTAGGTCTAGGTGCGCAGAGGCAGTGTAGGAATAATAGAACGTCCAGCGCTCCCCGCGAGAATCTCGACATCTGCTCATACAGAAGGGAATATGCTGGACCGCCGGGCTGCGAGCTACGAACTGCGAACTGCGAACTGCGAACTGCTCGACTCTGACGAGGGGAAGGAGCCCCGGAGCGGGGTGGGGTGTAACTCACAACTCATCGTGGCTGCCAAATCCAGATCCAGAACCGGCTCTCAAATTCGATTGTGTGTAAGCTGTCGTGGGACTTGAAGCTGTAGCACGGATACTAGGTACACGTTGTCTCGACTCGGGTCGATTTTAAAGGGTTGTGGACTTTGAGTATGAGTTGGTATTACCTCGCACGTTGGTGGGGCTGGGCAGGTCTGGGGCTGCGTTAGCCCGCGGTGTGGAAAGCAGTCGTCGTTGAACACAGAGCGCAGGAAAGGGTATTTGAGGTACGTTAGATGGATTTCTGAGAAATTGAGAAAAGCAAAGGCACTATCACAAACTCGCTCTGCACATCAAGGAGATGATGCTGGACTGGACTGGCATGGCAGGAAAGTCAGATGTTGAATTGGGGTACCGGTAGGTAGAGGGGTCAGATACCGTAGCGGTAGCTCAGTGTCAGAGAGAGGTCCGAACCGGTACCGGTAGAGGTCGATATCACGTGGATGCATACCTCTATTATTTGCCTTCTCTCAAGTTGTGTCTGGCCGTGGAAGCTGGAGCGTAGAATTTGGCTTTGCGCATCGGTTGATAAACAATACTTGACCGGAATCACCATGTCCTTATACGCATGATGCGAGGTGTACCGGCAAGTGTGTGAAGTCCTGATTCACTTGTCCATGTCATATCCGGTTGCTATCGATAAGCTCCTGCCACGCGCTAGCGCTAGGCACCTTATACGAACCGAGTAAATAACGACGATTTAACCCTTCTTAACGGTACCCCGACTGGCCTGGACATTTCACGATATTCAATCCTCGACCTCACACATCTTCTCCAATTGCCTGTGTGTATTTGTTAAGACCTCCCAATCTAGAGATCTCCAAGTTCTCCTCTATCCCAAGCTCGACACCGCATCAGAAGACGCCTCTCCCGCTCCGGAATCCACCCAAGGCAAAATGACCAGTTTCGCATCGAAGAGACTGTCGAAGGAGCTGTCGAAGGTGCGCACTTGTCCTTGCCCCTCGACACAAAAGGGGAGGGAATTGCTGATCACAGTACAGATCCACGGCACGCTCCCGCCAGGAATCGAGCTGGTCAGCGCAGAGGGATTCCAAGAATGGCAACTCGACATCAAAGTCCTTGACGCAAACCCGCTGTACATGAACAAGACCTTCCGCCTGAAGTTCAAGTTCAGCCCGCAATACCCCATTGGTAAGTTTAAAGGGAAAAAGAAAAAAAAAAACACTCCCTCCTGTTTTCTCATCCCACCTGCCCGGTACCGAAATCCCCATCTCCCCATCCTCAATTCCCATCCTCAATCCCCAACCCCGCTACTACCCCTCCCCCCCCCCCCCCCTTCGAACTTACACACTCAACTAACCACCTCCTCCCGGTCCTCCTCAGAACCGCCCGAGGTAATCTTCGCCCAGTCGACCGACCGCCCGATACCCATGCACCCACACATTTACTCCAACGGCATCATCTGCCTCGACCTGCTCGGCCAGCAGGGTTGGAGCCCCGTGCAGAACGTGGAGAGCATCTGCATGTCCCTCCAGAGCATGCTGACCGGCAACACGAAGGACGAGCGTCCCGAGGGCGACCAGCAGTTCGTTGCCAACAACAAGCGGAGACCGCGCGACATCGATTTCTACTATCACGATAATACCGTCTAGCCCGCGCGCTCGGGGTATCCGCAAGGGAGGCTGATGAGGCAGGGCAGGAGGGGTTCAGCAGTGGGTTAATCTTCTTTGGAAAGACAACAGAGGTGGCAGGAGATGTGCGCGGCAAATATGATTCAGTAGGGGCGTTTGGGGCATGTACTTTTTGGTTGGAGCAGCCAGACCCTTGGTGTTCGTAGTAGTGGTTATTGGACTGGTCCGTCATGGGCTTCTCCAGATGCGCATTCTAGCATGGCGTATGGATTCACTACCTTCCTCTTCCTTTTTTTTTTCTTCCAGCAAAAATGTGCTCCCCAGGCGAATCTGGAAATAAAGTGAATGGACGAGTACCAGCAATTTGCTATCTCTTTGGCGTTTCATCTCCCTGAATGTCTTATCTCGTATGGCTTTCATTTCGCTTCTTCTAACTACGCTCGGTGATAGCTTCGTGCATACTTCTCTACTTTCGTTTCTCTGTTTAAAAGGCTGTGTGACGGGTAGTAACGCGGTAGCAAGCTACGGAGAGCCAACAGCAACAAGCAGCAGCAACCGTGGTAATGGTCCTGGGAGATCATATCCCTGCTAAGTTTTACAGCCCTGTGTCTATCTTACCCCATAGGGATGCGGCAACATTCCGCAGCTCTTGACATACCCCGGGGTTCCTTAATCAACTTTCGCGAGTAAAATTCAGAACGAGAAGCGGGGGAGCAAGTCCAAGTGCGTAACCGGGTTACCGGAACGGTATGGAGTAGAGAGTGCGTCTTGTCCTTTCACGTCCTCAAAACTCCCAATCGTCGTCTTCGTCTTTCATGGACTCGATGGCCCAGTTGAACTTTTCCCGAAGTGTCTTGGAGAAGAATTTTTCGATGGGGACGTCGAACTTCTTGGCGAAGATGACAGTGAGCCGCGGGTCAATATAATTCTGGAAAGAGTTAGCATCCTACTTCCGGCTTTCGATTGGCTTAACCTACGATCTTACTGGTACCGAGCGCGACCTCCTTGTTGCCCTCTCGGTCTTCCGCCTGAAGTCTCATGGTAGTGATACGATCGTCCAACTTCTTGATGGCAGCCTCGTACTTTTCGACTGATGGGCCCTTGCCTTCAGGCTCAACCTTCTTCGTCTTGTTTTCTTTCTTGAACTTCTTCTCCAAGTCATCAGCAACCCCAAGTCTCTCCTTCAACTCTTTGGCCTTCATTTCTTTACCACCTTCAGCGACCAGCTTTTCGTTGTCCTTCTCGAACTTCTTTTCGATCTTCGTACGTTGCTCTTGGACAAGGAAAGCTTGGTGTTCGATAATCCAGTCCTGGTCGAGATCTTCGTGAAGTTTGAACCACTCAGCCCCCTTCTTCTTCTTTTGCTTCGGGTCAACGTCAAGGATCATTTGCTTCAATCGCCATTGTTGGTATTGAAGACCTTTGATCTATAAAACGTTAGAAAGAGTAGAGGCCTCTCAAGTTCTGAAAAAAACCTACTCGATCAGTCATCTTTTCCATCTGGGCCTGATGGCTGGCACCGACACTGCGCTTGTGATTACACAGGACCGCAACTTCTCGATTGCAATCATTGTACAGCTTGACTTTTTCTTGAATGGAAAGATTTTTGACTTTGAGAGCCTGTAGTGTTTTGGACATAGTCCAGGAAGCGTTGTAGGTACGGAACACTTTCGCACTGAGACCAGGCATGTAACTTGTCAGATGCTTGTTAAGTTGGGTCGTCTATTCTTGTCAGCTTTGATTCAGCACGTCAAGGCGCGCACACTTACAGTGAGACGATCGAAGATATCATCACCCTCCTGCTTTGGTGGCTTTTTGAAGAGCTTCAAGTTCTTGAAAACTTTGTCTTCGACGGCAACTTCATCGTAATATCTGATACTGTCTTTTCCAAGGAAATCGAAAATAACGATATTGGGAGGCTTGAGAGTGATGTGTTCGTACTTCAAGGAGCAACAACCAACTGTCTCAGCTTCGTTTTCGGCGTCCTTCTCATTGCCGGCACGTAATGCCAGTCTGTCAATCAAGTAGACTGCAGTGGCTCGCTGTCGGTCTGCCATTAGCTCAGCACCAAGATCCCGGGTATATTCCTTTCGGATGTGATCAATGTGCTTCTTGAGCTCTCGCGCCTTCTCAAATTTCTTGAAGTCGCTTTGGCCTTTGACGCTGCTCTTCGCGGCTAGCTGGACGTATTTGTGCGCACCATTGATATTTTCCTGCCACATCACAAGCCAGCTGACCTTGTTATCGTGCCGAACCTCCTTCCAATTGTACCCTTCTGGTGGAGGTGGCACAGTGGCCTCCTTACCGATGTTTATGATGACTTGGTTTGGGTAGACGCGGCGCTTCACTTTTCCGGTCTTGGGATGTGCACCACGACCTCTGAAGAGCCCAGGTGGCTCAACTCGGAAGTTTCCAACTTGCTCCTTGCGACCATCCCATAGGCAGTGAGTGTACGGGGCTTCGACTTCGTCTTTCTCGGCCTTTTCGGCTTTCTTTTCAGCAGCTGAGCGCGCCTTCCTAGCTTGGCTCTTGCCATCATAGTAGGCGAAGATTTGCTTGAAGTCGAGCTTAGAAAACTCCTTGATGTTGATCTTTTCCCCATTAGGACCTTTCGCCCCTCCGGTCTTCTTGACTTCGTCCGTGAAATCTTGAAAGAAATTTTTCTGGAAGGTAGGGTTTTCGACGTTCAGGGTTGAGTTGAGCATGGCACCAAAGAAGCCAGCAATCTCTTCGGCCTCTACTGATAGCGTGACTGGAACACCATCGTAGAGGAGCTTGACGTTTTTCGGGAGCGGCTCGTAAGGAGGAGGGAATATCACTCCGTTGTGTTGCAAGGTTTCCCATTTGATGCTGTCATCCTCCTTCTTCTCTTCATCCCACCATCGATGTACCTCCTCCTGCTCTTCCTCACTCTCTTGTTGCTGCTTGCCCTTCTTGATCGGCGAGGCGTCCTCGGATTTGACTTTGCCGTTGGCGACTTTCTTACTAGCGGCCTTAGCAGAAACCTTTTTGGCGAGTGGCACATCAGAGTCGGACTCCTCTTTTTTGACACCATTCTTTTTCGCAGAAGAGCCATTCGAATTCGGTGCCTTCGCCTTCGCCTTGCTCTCCTTGGCCCGAATTTTCTTAGCTTCAACAGCCGCGTCCTTCTCAATGGCAGCTTTCTTATTCGCTAATTTGCTGGTCAAGGGCTCGTCATCAGAGGAGCCGTTTCCAACAAGATCCCTTCTAGAAACCTTGGGTGGCAGCTTCCCACCCCTCTTCTTAGCGGCCGCAAGGGGAGCATCGTCGTCCGAGTCGGATTCCACGATCTTCTTCGATGCTTTTGTCTTTTGTCGCTTGGCCTGGTGCGAGTATTAGTATGAGTGCAAAAATTGCAGGCAGAAGACCGAGTTTCATTCGCAGGGATAGCGTTGGGAGGGCATACCAAGGGAGCTTCGCTATCGCTGTCACTGGCAGCATCATTGTAATTGATAGACTTCGAGGTGCTGTTCCTTGCCTTGCGCTTGAAGTTGCCATTCGTCGCAGACCCATCGACGTCCATTTTGTCCTCGAGGACAGGACCATTTCGGATAGACACACCCGCGGGGGCGGAAGGGCCCGAGGGCCCAGCATTATCCATTGCTCTGTCCTCGGACTTAGAGATATGCGCCTGGGAGACTGCGGGAGTGAATTGTTAGCTTTGTTGACTTTGGCAAGGTGTTTAAAGAGTTGCATGTCGCAGTGAGGTGTGAGGCACCCGAAGTGGTATGCGCGGGTCAGGTAAAGAAGGTTGTTGAGGGCATTCGACATGCGACTTCCGGGAAGGTGAATGGCTGAAGACTCACGTTTGCCATTTCTGGCGAGAGGCATATCGTCATCCGAGTCTGACGACATCTTGAATGGAAATGGAGATCGACACGGAAGTTTTGGCGGAGGTGGGATTGGCGGGTGAGGAGGGTAAACCGAGGGTTTGACTTGGGTGAGACGGCGGAATGAAAGTGAGCTGCTAGCTAGCTGTCAGTACGAGTACGAGACGCGAATTGGACTGCCTGCGAGGGTTTAGCTTGCCTCTGAGCGCGTCGAAGAGCTGTTCGAGTTGTTGTTGAGGCACAAATGCGTGGTGAAAGCTTTAGGAAATAAGGTGGTGGAGGAAAAAGGCGTTTGGACATGCGAGAAGGAAGAGAGAATGATGGACTTGAGAAACGAAAGCTCTCTCTCGGTGAGTAAGTAATTGGAATTGAAGAAGATTCTTCTAAGGTGGCTTCTTACTCTTATTGGCTCTACGCTTCCCGAAGTGGGTCCAACTGACTAGCGCCACTGTGGGAAGAGGAGGAGCAGAGCCGACGTGCCCGTCGTCAAATTCGCTTTAACGCCTGCTCTCTCCTACGCCTTGCACCCCATCAATTGAGCCTCCCAACCAAAAGGCTCAATTCTTCCCTCTCTGTCGACAAGATGCTTTCTAGAGCTGCTCGTCCTGCTTTGAGAGCTGGCGCCGCGGCGTCCGTTCGGTGAGATTCCTACGCCCGACCCGACAGGATCGGATTGGATTGAATGTGATGATGAAAATGGGACTGGAAGCTACCCGGAAGCTCCTGAGCTTGGGGATGGAATTGGAGGCGTTGATGGAGGAAATCGATGGATAAAGCAATCAATCAGGATGTGGCTAATTTGTTTGCTCAACCAGACCTATCCCCCAGAATGCCGCGACCTTCGCAACTCTGCGTGAGATCGAGGATCGATTGAAGTCGATCAGGTATTTTGCGCCCCCGCCAAACGCCCCCGCGGCATGAAAGCAGCTCACAATGCCGCAGAAACATCGAGAAAATCACCAAGACGATGAAGATTGTTGCCTCTACGAAGCTCAACCGCGCCCAGCGTGCCATGGTCGATTCCCGAGCATATGGTCAAACCTCCAACACTGTGTTCGAGCAAGCAGAAACAAAGCCACTCGAGGGCGACGGAAAGAAGACCCTGCTTGTCATTTGCAGCTCGGACAAGGGATTGTGTGGTGGTATCCACTCTGGGTTGTCGAAGAAGGTCCGCCGGATCCTCGCTGAGAAGCCAGACTGCGATATCGTCGTTTTGGGGGAGAAGTGCAAGGCTCAGTTGAGTCGTTCGAACGCCAAGAACATTGTCATGAGTTTCGCGGCTGTCGGAAAGAACCTGCCCACTTTCGCAGAGTCCCAGGCCATCGCCGACCAAATCTCTCTCCTCCCAACGGACTACGCTTCCGTTCAGATCATCTACAACAAGTTTATCAACGCCACCAGCTATGAGCCTACCCCAGTTGAAGCCTACTCCGAGGAGGCTATTACCCAATCCCGTAGGTGATTTTTTTTCTGACCTGTGACCAGCGCTAACCTGTCGAATTAGCCAACTTCTCTGCTTTCGAGATTGACGATGAGGTCCTTGCCAACATGCGTGAATACTCCTTGTCCAATGCTCTCTTCTGGGCTCTCTCTGAGGGTCACGCCTGTGAGATCTCTGCTCGTCGTAACGCCATGGATGTATGTTGTCCCACCTATCCATGTCAGGTTCCTATCATTCTAATGTCCAACAGAATGCCTCTAAGAACGCTGGAGATATGATCAACAAGTACCAGATTCTCTTCAACCGAACACGTCAAGCCGTCATTACTGGCGAGTTGGTCGAGATTATCACTGGTGCCGCCGCTTCCGAGGAGTAGAGGAGTTGTCAATATGTAGACTAGTCAAGGCTTTCGGTCTTCCGAGACGAGAAGAATCAATTTCCTTCTGTACCAATGCAACACAACTCTCGATAATGAGATTTCGTTTTTCTAGAACTTTGATTTTTCCATACCAGATCAAACGTCATGCTTTCGTTCGCGCTTTCTCCCTCACAGCTTGGTACGCAAAGATTGACATGTTCGTTTGCACAATCCTCACCATGTGGCTCGTACAAGACCAGCAGCTCATCCCTCGGAGCTTTCTCTCTCTCTCTTTCTCGTCACTTCTCACTTCGGACCCCTCTCTTTCGCCCTCCCATCCACCAACTCAGCAGCAGCAGCAGCAGCCTGCCTGGAACAACCTCTGCAGCCAGCAAGCCACCAAACCTCCTCCCCAACCCGACATCCGCAGCAGCAAACAGCAGACCCTCGATACCGCCACGTATTTCCCCACCACCATCACCTTGGTAGCCCTTAGTAATTATGAATGAATGAAAGTATGGTGGGTTGGTGGATTTGACTTGGAGGTTTGATTTGATTTGCTGTGTGGTGAGGTGAGATAGTTGCTGTTGTTTAAAAAATAAAAAAACGAAAAAATAAAAAATCTGATTGATTGTTGTGCTTGTGCTTGGTGTTTTTGGTGTTTTTGGTGATCGGGAGTAACGAAAGGAGAAGAGGAGGAAGACAAGGGGCAAAGAGCAAAGAGCAAAGAGCAAAGAGCAAAGAGCAAAGAGCAAAAGCAAAGAGCAAAAGCAAAGAGCAAAAGCAAAGAGCAAAAGCAAAGAGCAAAAGCAACTACCAACTATCAAATATCGGGAATTGAAAATTTCCATCATTGGAGGCAAGAAAATATGAATTGAAAAAAATAAGAAAAAAAAAAATATCTATCCGTTTAGAGGCGAGAATAGAGGGAGGGGAAGAGGGTGGGGAAGAGGGTGGGGGGTTAAGAAGAGAAGGGGAGGGAAGGGAAGGGAAATAAACGAATAAATGAAAAATTGAAGGGGAGAGATGGATAACGAAAGGAAAGGAAAGGAGCCGCCGGATGTGCCGCACCGTCGGCTGGAGACCAGTCCATGGTAAGTACGGAGCGACTGGAAGGCGCATGGCTTGATGATGGTACGGTTTGGTGGGGGGGCAAGGCAGACGAAGGGGATGGATATGGATGGATAGTAAGGTCTAAGTTGACGTACCGTCTTGGAAGAGACCGATCCCTCTGTGGCCGCAAGTGTGCACGAAACGGGATTAGACAGTCGTCATGTTTACGGCAGTATCATGGGCTTGAAGCTGGAATGGTTGGTTCTTCGGTAACGGATTTCCACACTAGCTCGAATGAAAAGGTCGAGTATGCTCAGTGCATATGGATCACGTACAAGTGCTTGGATCAGAAAGTGAAATCTTCTACGTGCCCTAGTAGGTTCTCCACACGACGATGATTGACAAGACCTGGTTAGCGGGGGGAGAGAATATGTTCAAATTTGGTCTATTTTCAGGGTATATACAAGTCTCAAATCATCATCACGCTTTTTTTCATTCTTCCCGAGAGTTGTTCTTTGCAGCTCCTGTTCCCACAAGCTTCAAGTTGTACGGCGCATCCTCCTTTGGCATGTGCAGCTCCACGAACTAAAAAATTCACATTAGCATCCATCAGTCTCTTCCCCAACCACACCACGCCAGATCTCTCACCTGCACATTCTTCGCGTGAGCAAACTCCTCGTTCAGCAGCAGGACCTCCAGCTCCTGCTTCGTCTTCACATCGTGAACCGTGACATCACCTTCTCGAGCCCCGAGAACTCGCGGGATCTCCTTGTACTTCCACCCGGAGATGTCGTTGTACTCGGCGTCCATGCCGTGGATGAACCGCTCGATGGTGTACCCCTCGTTCTCGATCAGGAAGATGGTGACGCTGAGCTTGTGCCGGATCATGGTCGACACTTCTTGCGCGGTGAGTTGGAAGGAGCCTGGGCAAGCGAGGGTTAGCTTGATTAAGCATCCCCCTCCCCATGGGAAATTCTCAGACCATGGGATGGGGCCGAGGGAGGAAGTTGCTTACCATCTCCCACGAACAGGATAGTCCTAGCATCCGAGCCGACATCCTTGAGAGCGAGGGCCGCTCCCTGTGCGGCGCCGACGGTGTAGCCGATTGAGCCCCAGAGCGTTTGGTTGATGGCCTGCACGCCGCTGGGGAGCTTGCTGTCCCAGATTCCAATGTTGGCTGTGCCGTTCTCGGTGATGATGACGTCGTTTGGCTGGAACCATGAGGAGAGTCTCTTCCACAGGTGATCGTGCAGTATTGGCTCCCGTGCTTGCTTGTCCGCAAGTGATGCTGTTGATCCGCTCTCGCTTAGCGCGCCAAGTTTCGGCGAGTGAGGCGGCGACGTCTCGATACGAGCACCGAGCTTCTGGAGAACCCCTCTCATCTGCATGCCCTCGTGTTTGGTGCCAAGTATCTCGATTCGATCGTTGTGAAGCTCGATGATTCTCTCTGGAAGCTTGGCTGTAAAAAATGCTGTGTTGACGTCGCTTTTGACGGGACCAATCCACACTACTAGATCCGAGGTCTCCACTGCCTTTCTTATGCTCTCATCTGAGTGAGCGCCAAAATACATGCCGTTGAAGTTCTCGAGTGATTCGGTGACGTTACCCTTGCCCATTGGTGCCACAAATGTCGGGATTCCGGATTTGCGAACGAGGGCATCGACCTCTTCCAGAACCTGAGCCGTCAGCACTCTCCATTTACTCGTCTTGGGAAGCTAGCTTACTCTGTATCTGGAAACATTAGCGTCAACCAGGAAGACCGGCCTCTTGGACGAATGGATCAGTTCGAGGAGGGTTTCGACCACGGAAAGCTCGGCATCAGCGTTGTTCGCAACCGGCTCCAGGTTCAACGGGATGTCCAAAAGGGTCTTATCTAACGGCTTCGTCGCCATGTCCGTTGGCAACCGGATGTATACAGGTCTCTTCTGGATCCAGCACTGCTCCAGCACCCGATCCACCTCCTGAGCTGCGGTGGTGATATCGTCAAGATAGGTTTGTGCCACCGTAACCCTCTTGAACATGTCTGCGAACACATCGAATTCTCCATCGCCGAGAGTGTGATGGAGGACGAGCCTGTTCTTCCGTGCAGCCGTCGCTGGCGACCCGACGATGTAGACCTGAAGCACTCGGTCAGAATTGTCAAGTGATCAAGGATCAAGAGGTTGAGACCACGTACCACCGGGACATTTTCTGCATAGGAGCCGGCACAGGCATTGATGGCTGATAACTCTCCAACCCCGATGACCGTGGCCATTGCGCCGACCCCATTCACTCTCGCATACCCATCTGCTGCATACCCTGCCTACCAGGCCTTAGCAGATGATCGATGAAGCTTCGAGGAATATGTATGTCTTACATTGAGTTCATTGCAGTTGCCAACCCATGTCAAGCCTGAGATCAGTCAGTAGTTGTAAATCGTCCCCCGGGTCCAGATTCCCATTCCATTCCAGACCTACCAGCTTTCTCCACGTAATCTAAAGCAACCAGATTGTAGTCTCCCGGTACACCATGAAGGGAGCGGACTTTCAATTGATGAAGGCGTGTGTACAGATACTCGGCTAGAGTGATTGTTGACATGGCTGTGAAGAGATGGCCAGAAAGCAAACCACTATTTCCGAATTCCCGTGGTGCAAGCAATGCAATAGATAGGTAGGTAGATAGATAGATAGATAGATAACCAAGATGAATCTTCACTTTGTATAAAGCCGAGTGATAGAGACAAGTCGAGCAAAATCACGGATGTAAAGCCTCTGTGAGAAAAAAGGGAGATAGATCACTTGCTCTGCCTTCCTTCGTCGTCGTCCTCCTCCTCCCTCATCTTTGAGCTTTTCTTTCATATATAGTTGTAAAAACTCAATTCGAAAACCCCCAAGAAATTTGGATGCACCGCAGCGCAACGCTTCCTAAACCGAGCCAGGCCACTAGCGCCCGTAGTGGGCTGCTTGCCTCTGGATAGGTACTAATGCCGTTGGATTCCGCGATTTGCTTGAGTCGGATTCACCGGCAATCCCTGTCAGAAACGACCCGACGACCCAAGTGCGGAACGGAGAGTCGCCTCGATGGACATTTAGACTTTATTCATCGGTATCAGGGTGATCAGGGTGATCAGAGCAGCAAACTCTTTTGGAACATTTCCGTGGCGTGCTGATCTGCGTGTCGTTCATGTACGTAGTACCGGTATGTCATGGCATTGCATTGCAATCGATAGCCAGCAGGGAACGTTATTCACTACGTAATTGTGGCCGTGTCGCGTATATACCGAGGTATCGTCTCTTCGAAGAAAGCTCACGGTTAGGTATATGCTCCATACGGCAAGGAAGTATTTGCAACAGTAAGCTGTCGCGGCTGCATAAAGCCACAACAAAATCGAGGCGTTTGAATGTTCGGTTTCCGTTTCAAGACTTGACTTCCGATGTTGATGGATACGGGTGTACAAGCTTGACCTAACCGAGATGGAGAGAAAGATGTATTAGAATTTCGTCTCAGTAGAGACACACTGACATACATACAAACAACATAGAGAGAGAGGCACGACGACGGCAGAGTCACGGCCCCTTTTACCTCAACAACATTTACTCATCCCCAAGTAGACAGTGTTCAGCATCTGGCTGCGAAAAGCCTTTACTCATGTCACGTGTTTAACCTGAGAATCCTCATAGTTAACTCTGATCTCAACTCTCGCGGGCGGATCAAGAAATGAATGTCTCCTCATCCCATAAAATCCTGGACCAACTGCTTGTCTCCACATCATAAACATCGTCAGCCGCGTCCCAGATTCTCAAACCTGAGGCATAATGGGTGTTGGACCGGGCCCACCTCCATCCACTCTTGACCTTCCCATGGCGCAGGACTTGGTCTCTTCGATTACCAGGTTACAGGTATCTATCACCAATGTCTTGAAGTCGTGAAGCCCTTCATTGTTTTCGATGGAAACCCCGGCTCCTCGTTCTGCTGCTCGAAAGACGGGCGCTAGGGCACCCCTCGCCTGTGCCGCCTGTCGGTAAAGATTCCGGTCTCCTTGTCCCAACTTCTCGGATACCCCGTTGACGGAATTTCTTTTTCATAGCAAGAGGAAAACGAAATGCTCTGGCGAGTGGCCGAGTTGTCGGGCGTGCACACAAAGATCCCAGACGTGTCAATATGCAGGCAATATCCCACAGGCGGTAATGCAGAGGCAGCTGCACTCGAGACTGCCAACACCGAAACCTGGGGAAGAGGGAGAAGATCTTTCACGTCTGTAAGTGAATTGAAGTGATGATGCCTTCCAACTCGGGAAACAAGCGTTGACTTTCTTTCGTTGCTTTTCAGACTTCCGGACCGAAGCATTGTTGCCCTAGCATTCAAAACTTACTTCGAATACTATGGCGACTCCATATTTTGCTTCTTCAGAGAATTCGTACTTCTACACGAGCTTGAGCAAGGCAGAGTTCCAGTGAGATTACAATTCTGTATCCTGGCCCTGATGGCCAGGTTCATCGAGCCATGCTTCACTATTTACAACGGTACGATAGAAGCGAGCGAGCACTTTGCCGCTCTGGCACGTTCCTCCATGACAAATACGTTCGATGAGATGACCATTCTCAACATGCAATGCAACCTCATTCTATGCGTCCATTGGACCGGGATGGGAGACGAGCACCGAGCCTGGTTCCAACTCGGGATTGCAACGAGAATATGTACGGCATTAAGACTTCCCTTTGAAGACTCATACGCATTGAAGGACGCAGCATCTGCGGAGATCAGACGTCGAACATTCTGGGCTTGTTTTGCTCTTGATCGCCTGATGGCCAATGGGGGTGATAGACGACTTACATTCATAGCATCGTCCATCACCACAGTCTTACCAGGTAGCCGATCTGACTTCCTCCTTGGACGCAGGAGTAATGCCGGCACCATCAACGATCCAATCGGAGGCGATGAGTCTATCACGGCTTATACGCTTCGGCTCATCGATATCCTTGGGAATATCGTAGATTGGTCTGGAGCTGGCGGTCGGCACCTGGAGTATCGAAATCCGTCAGTACTGGAGGAACCCCGAACGAAGATCTAGACAGCACTTCCATAACTTTTGAAACAGTCCCCGATCGATCAATGCTGATATTTCTGTCCCAACAGGTGGGAGTTCGATATGCCGATATCACGATTTGAAAGGGCGCTAGATACATGGCACCGGGCAATCCCTTCCCATATGGGTTTCAGCGACGCAAACCAAATTGCGTACCTGGCTATAGGAGAAGGTAAGGCCTTTGGAATCATGTGGCTCTTCTTCTACAATGCACGAGGGCATCTGTACCGAGAATATATACCCGTTGTGACGCCGACGGGTTGGGACCCTGGTAAGTTAACCGAAGCCATGATGGTTCAACGGTCCCGTTCGTACCATCGTGGAACTATATTGACTTCGAGGTTTAATTCTGTAGGAACTGGGCCTTGTGACGGTCCGGCGCTTCCTCGAGACAATCCAAACCCCGAGTGGTGGACACGGTCAATACGAAATGGAGTATCGGCCGCCGTCCAGATATCGACCATTTACAAATCCATGACCTCGTCAGAGTTAATTCCGTTAGTCAACCCGTTTCTGGGCTATTGCTTGATGACCTCGAGCACCTTTCATATTTGGTGTTCTTTGAACAAGTGGGAGAGCTGCGATGGACTGCAGATGGGAGAGCCTGTCAAGAAGTTGCTGATCGACGACCTTCGATACCTGATACAGTGCCAGGAGAGCTGGCCCGTAGCAGCATATTGGGTAGGCATCTGAATTCCTCAGGACCTCGAAGATATAAACTTACGTTCCCTCGCAGGTGAAAACTCTCCGCATGACCTACGAGCAGAACAGCTTAGCGAGTAGAGCCCAGATCCCACCCAGCCCCGAGGATACCAAGGCTGTAACAGATATCCGCTCAAAACTGCTCCACTTCGGGCAATCGGTGGAAGAGCCCGAGGCCTGGAAAGGCTACTTGCCACCGCGGGGGCATGATATGTTTGACTTGTTTGGCGGGAAGTTGGCGAATCAGGAGCCCGAAAGTCAAGAGGCGAGTGCATTGGAACACCTCCAGACTTCGGATGATATGTTGCTGAACGAGCTTCTGGGAATGGGGTATAGTTATTCTGAAGATCTGGGTAATTTGATACCAGGGTGAACTCACACGAGAATGAATGGAATGCGCGTAGCCAAGAGTTTCCAGCAGTCTACAAATTTGCCTTCGCTGTCAGGGCTTGGTCGACAAGCTCCTTCGCCGCAGTCGAACATCCGTACGAGGCTTGGTATCCCCACCCACCGTGGCCGTAGTTATGTACAACCCAGGTATCACCAATCTTCTCCTTCTCAATCCTCACGCCTGAGATCCTCGTTGGTCGCAGTCCCACGCCGTGTCGAATGATATCCAAAGCTTCGATACCCCTGCCTCCAGTCAAAGCCGGACACAACTCGACGGCTCGCTGCATGATCCTCACAGCAGTCGAGTGATCAGGCTGGGATTCCCAGTTGCCGACTTGGTAAGTTCCACCTAGGACGGTCCCTCCCCCCGTGGCGCGCTTCATGATGTAGCATAGCTCTTCCTCGCCGTCATCTGTACCGGATACTGCCACCATCATACCGGGGTCGTTCCGGACCACGACAACCTGCCCTCTGGCAGGCACAACATCCTTGTCCATCACACCTCCCAGTCTCGAAGCGAGAAGGCCGGTGCAGTTCACAACGAGATCGGCCTCCTGTCCCGTATGGTGAAGCTTGCCAGCATCCAAAATGTGTCTCAGGTTTGCGCGGTGGATCGTGCAGCCCTGCCTTACGCACTGGCTGATGATCCACGGCAGGTACTGCACAGTGTTGATGCAGACCGAAGTGAACCCAATACCGGAATCCACAGTCCTTGGGAGCTCCGCCGATGAGAGGACTCTAAAGTTGGGCGCAACGGTGTTGAACCACGAATCTGGTCGAGCCAGCGCCCTGAAATGCTTCCCTGAAGCAGAACCGGCATCCTTATTCCTCTCGTACACCACAATGTCTGCTTTCTGTAAGTGATGAGTCCTAGAGCCGAGAGACGGGGGGGCGAGGGCTTTTACCCTGGAAGTGAATGCCGGATTCTGGCACGTCTTCCGCAAGTCGCTTCAGCTCCGGCCATGTGTTCTGCTCGTACTTTTTCTCTGCCTCATTGGCAAATCTGTGGGCGTGTCTGTGGGTCGTCAACACTGCCGTGTCATGAATCTTCCTAGCACGCTGCCCACTTACGGCATGTAGTTGGCACCCGCCCATGGAGATGTGAATTCAACATCGTAGTCGCCCGGCATGTGTTTTGCGACAACAGTGACTCTGTAGTTGGGATTGCGGGATAGCAGGAGAGCAGTGGTCAGGCCGGAGACTCCAGCACTTGTGAGATCATCAGTTCTCTCAAGTCAATAAGAAGTCGAGTCACTGGGAGGAGACTGACCCAATAACTACAATGTTCGACATATATATCTTTTTTTCCCCTGGACCTCGGTGGAGTCTGGTGGTACGGAAAGGCGAGCGAGTGCAGCTGCAGTTCAATCGCGAAGTCTAAGAAAGCTGAAGCCAGTCTGAGAGGATAGAGAAGTTGAAGAAGTACGGATATCCCGGACTCTCTAAGCTAGGATAGATACACTCTCAGTCGGTAATGCTCAGATCGGTAGGGCCGGGCCGTGGTCCCTCGGGGATCCTAAGTACTGTAACAAAACACCTACGAGAAGGATACCGGGTCAAGCGCGCTGCTGGCTCGGGTTATCCGAGGCACCTGCACTTGATTGTCAATTTTATGGGGGACGATTACGAGGAATTAAATCGGAGTGGAAGTACAGCACATAGAATTTTGGAATATGGCAGCTATAGGATGATGATGCTAAAGGCGGGGAAGAGAAAGGTGGGCTATATACTGTCACGTGCTTTCACGCAAGAGCACACAGCTGGGCCGCATTGCTTGAATACTCTTCGTATTATCCGACGTACCAGCAACAGGTATATATAGCTTCTCAAAATTGAACTATACCTAGGACTTGTAGGAAGTTATCACCATGTTCGGTGGCGCGGGCGTTGTGTGAATAAGTTGAAGTACGTATCCATTGACTAAAGAATTGCTGGGAAATTTGGAGGTATGTGGCCAGGTTCAAATCATCTAGCTGATATTTGAGCTCCTCTTTTGGCTCTTCAATAACCAACCAGCTTTCAGACCTGCAATAGAAGGCGTCTTGGCGACGGTGTCTAGGCGACAGTGTAGCAGCCTGTCCACTTACGCTTCTCCGTCGGCTGCGCTGCAAAATTTAGATTCGAGAATAAATTTTGGTCTGAATCAGGATGATTCGCTCATGTAGTAGAAGTTTAGATGGTATCTGCGTTCTCTGGGCGTTGGTGTTATCAAGTGAATGAAGGAAGGGAGTGTTTCACTCGGTAAGCACGCTTTAGCGAGCAGCCTCCCCCTATTTCGAAAACACTTAAAACACATGAGGTTCTTTCGACTTGAGAGACTTTTAAAATTGAACCAAGCGTAAACAATATCACAGGGTTGTGAAATGATTCTCGCGTGGAAACGGCACCTGTGTGATATTTCACTTGTTAGATAAGACTTGCTCCTCTTTGCTTGAAAGGCTGGAGCGACCTGGTTATCTCTCTCGTGGCTGTTCCTTCCCTAGACGAAACAAAGATTTCGAATAACTAGAATGGCTTAAAGTTTTCTCTCCCGTTAATGCAGCATTTCAGGTGAGCCTGCGGGTCTGCAATTTCGTATCGTGAGCCTTCCTCCCTGACAACAAGTAACATGTCTCGGTTAAAGGAAAACAAATCTATGGCCGAAGATCCTCCGACGAAAACGCAAATGATATTTCGAGTCTCTAGATTCTATACCCCGTTATTGAATTGCTTCTTCGAAGGGCTGTAAGTTTCTGATAGAAGTTTCTGATATCATAGGCTACATTTATAATCTATTCGAACAGTTCTGCTTCTACCTAGTATTTCCTCCAACCGCACTATCACCATATCATCGATAACTGTCTCTCAGAGAAGAACCCTTGCTTTATCTTTCTCCCCAAGTATTAAAGATGATGATTCCACTCCTATCCCTAATATTGCTAGTAACAAGGCTTCTTGGTCGATGTGGGCTTGCTTCGTTCTACTTTATCAGCAACAAGCTTCGGTCTCTACACCACTATTGCCATAATCTAATATATCAACAGTATCAATCCTACCGGAAGAGCTAACTAAGGCCATGTACATAACATCTTCTGTCAATACGTCAGCCAATTATCTGATAGTTGAGAACCCACTCGGTGGCCCTGCCCATCCAAATCTTTCAGCAATAGGCAAGGACTCCCAACTTCTCACCTTAACACTTGCCATTCATGGGCTCGCAATTCACCTTTTTCGTGAAAAAGTTCTGGCCTTAAGCTAGCTATTGTGAATACCTATTCATCGGCAAGATCCTTCCGAATTCGGTCCATATAAGAGGCCACTAATCTCGATTAGCTGAGCCTTTTCCCCTCAGCCAACAACATCATTCATCCACAGCCTCTTGAGTCAACAACAATTCAGGAGAAGTCATCTCTCCTCCCTCAATACTCCTTCAATACTCCTTCTTCGTCACCTACCTTCAACACAATATCCCCAACTCGAGTCACTTGATCTTGACTCACCCCCCCCCCCCCCCCCCCCCCAACGTTACACATCGCCTTCCTCAAACGACAGTCAAAGTCAAAAGCAAATATCGCCGCTCTTCAACCGCTCTTTGAGACAACAGTCTTCTAAGGGTGCAACTAGGACAGCTTAAGCCAGAGTCACTCCAGCACACACACTTTTGTGCTACATCAACGGCAATCCGGTTTACCTTCTATTCTTTCGGCACTCAACCCCCAAGGCAAGCAGATCGACTGAACGGAAACCCTCCAGTAACCTCGGGACTGATTAGCAAGAGATCGATATTCTCATTCGGAGCGCTCAAATACCCAGGTCGACACTTCTCCAGTCCTGGATACATTTCGACGGCAGGCTTTCCTTTAGTCTCGTCACCATACAAGGCACATTGACAACTCCCGGGAAAACTTTGGGGGGATAAAAATACCAGCAATTCTGCATTTGATCAAGCAGATTTGCTCAGATCCTTCTACGTTCGAGATATCAGGCACAGAGATCATCTGTTTGCCTTTCAACTTGTGAGTCATTAGAGATTTTGCTGGCGATGAGTCCCTTCTTCTTTTGGCTTCGCTCACTGGAGGCCATCGGCAAGAACAAGCTTTCCTGAGAGTATTCCGTCTGAATGCTGTCAGGAGAAACTTACAACTATCCCAAGGCCCCGATCTCGCAGAACATTTCATCTCGCGACATTTTGCTGACATTTCTGGCACTCAGACGGCTTGCCACTAGCAGACCATCAGGCCTCCCAGATCCTGCAAGATCGAATCTTCCCAACTCCTCACTTCGACCCACCTTCTCCTCCAGCCAGCCATCATGTGCGTCAAGGAATTCCTGGGCTACAACTGTGGGCACTGCTCCTTCCCCTACCTCCGCAAGTGCCCCATTACCTCGCAAAATGATAGCTACCCAGCCTGCCACTTCCCAGCAGAGCGCCCCATCTACACCAACGAGAACTGCCACTCGTGCGCTCGTGTCGTCTGGAACTCGCGCGTCCTGAAGGAGGAGGAGGAGCACCGTGCCCGTCACTACATGGGCGAGTGTGACTGCCCGGTGATCTTCGATACAGAGGATAGAGAGAGACGTCCGAGACCTCGTCCAGCCAAGGGAAAGGGGAGAAGCAAAGAGGTGTTACGTGGAGAGGACCACTTCAGCGATGGGTGGCGCGAGGGTACGTGTGAAAACTTCCATTCCCCCCCCCCCTCCCCCCTTTTTTTTCACCCCTCAACAGCTTGCTTGATAGGATTTTTGGATTTCCCAGCGTAATGTTCAGAGCCACTGGCTCTTCGGAGCAGTGTGCCGAGTCCCGAAAACTCGAAATCAGAAAGAAAAAAACACCCCCATTGCTAACCGATGAATAGGCAATGATAACGGCGGCTATGGTGATCATCACCCCGAGGGCGGAAGCGAGGACAGAGCCACTCTTGGATACAGTACTGAGCCTAGCGGTCCCCAAGTCCCCTATTTGAGTGGCAATCCCCTCGTCGCTAGCAACCAAGGCTTCAGTACCGATGCTGGCACCAACAACCAGTTCACGTGGCCAAGCCGTCACCTCCCCGACCAAGACCGCTCAGCCATCGAGCACTTCCACCGAGGCGACGGCTTCCCTCCCGAAGGCTCACTCTCCAAAGACGCAACCTGGTTCGGACAGACAGTCATGAATCAGCCCGGTGCCGGCATGAAGTGGTACCCCGAACACAACACCAACATGCCCGTGCTGCCCCCGTTTCCCACCGGTCCACCACCAGCACCAGCACCACCACCCCCACCACCAGCACCGGCAACCACTCCTCCCTCTCGCAAGAACACCATGGCTGCTGCTCGACGCGGCTCCCCAACCACCCATGTGAAGAACACCAAGGCCCACGCAGCTGGAGTCTACGCCGCCAGAGTGCAAGCTGGCAAGATCCAACAAAACGAGCAGTCGACAGCTCACAAGTATGCCGCTCAGCCTACCCCGGTCCCGGTCCACAATGAATTCCATACGGGGGAGCTCCGAGGAGTACAAGCTCACCTGCAAACACCAAAGCAGCACACCAGATCCCCTACTCGCAAGACAATGACCTCTCCCACACGCGTTCCTTCGGGTATCGTCGTCGATGTTCATATCCCTCGTGCACAAGCTCACCTGCAAACACCCAAGCAGCACACCAGATCCCCTACTCACAAGACAATGACACCTCCCACACGCGTTCCTTCGGCTATCGTCGTCGATGTTCATATCCCTCGTGCACCAAGACATTGGCAGAAGAAGGCCATGTCAGAGGGAAGCGATCCCCATCAACTTCTCCTCACACCACTGGATACTTCAGTCAGTATTGAGACCATCCTTGCTCATGAGGCCAGCAAGAAGGTTGGAAGTGTCCAAGAGGCTCCTACCATCGCCAGCAGTGGCATGGCTGATTCCATGTCGAAGTAGGCATTTGCTACTTGGTAGGTCAAAATGCCCAACTCTGGAGGAACTGAAAAATGTGCTGGCATTGCTAACTCAGCGCGCGAAGACTTTGTACAACATAGGAAGATTCGCCACCGCCACTGCACCACCCGCGCGTCTCTTGCCATGTACAATTAACCCGCCCTCAACTCCCTTTGTTGAATTCCAACCTTTTCATTTCTCACCTATCGACCTCACCAAATACTACATAAAAATTGTCAGTCCTGTTCAACATAGAGCACAATTGGTAATTCAACTTACCAAGATCCATCGTTCCAATAATCGCCACGGCGTCCGCCAGCAAATGCCCTCGAGAGATCTGATCAAAACCACCCAAATGCGCAAACCCGGGAGCTCGGATCTTGCATCGGTAAGGCCTCTCACTCCCGTCACTGACAACAAACACCCCCATCTCTCCCTTTGGAGCTTCGATTGCTGAATATGTCTCTCCAGGCGGCACAGAATAACCCTTGGTGAACAACAAAAAGTGGTGAATCAAGGCCTCCATATTCTCCTTCATCGCCGCTCTGGGTGGTGGGGAGACCTTGTAATCCTCTACTCGGACAGGTCCAGCAGGCATCTTGTTCAAGCACTGATGAATGATGCGAAGAGACTGTCTGAACTCCTCCATTCGACACAGGTACCGATCATAGCAATCGCCATTCACACCAACCGGAACATCAAATTCGACCTGACCATAGGCATCGTAAGGCTGGCTTTTACGGACATCCCACGGCACTCCGGAGCCACGAAGCATTACGCCGGAAAAGGAGTAGTTCAAGGCGTCTGCTGCAGAAACAACTCCAATTCCTCTTGTTCGACCTATCCAGATTCTGTTGTCTGTGAGAAGTTCTTCGGTTTCGTCGATTCGATCAGAGAATTGCGTTGCCCACTGATAGATGTCGTCGAGTAGGCCAACTGGGATATCTTGATGGACACCGCCTGGGCGGATATATGCGGCATGGAGACGTGCACCCGACACTCGTTCATAAAACTCCTGCGAGACTTTAGAAAATATTACTACCAAAATAACATCATCATAAAATCTTACCATCAATTTCTCACGTTCCTCGAATCCCCACAAGAAAGGTGTTAGAGCCCCAACATCCATTGAATGAGACAGAACAGACATCAGATGGTTCAAAATCCTAGTGATTTCAGCAAATAGCGTTCTAATCCACTTGGCCCGCTCCGGGATCTCGATATTCAAAAGCTTCTCTACTGCCAACGAGAAACACTGCTCATTGGTCATCATGGAGACGTAGTCCAGCCGATCGAAATATGGCAGAGCCTGGATGTATGTCTTGTATTCAATCAACTTTTCCGTGCCCCGATGCAGTAATCCCACATGAGGATCCGACCGCACAATTTCCTCGCCATTGAGCTCCAAGATTAAGCGGAGCACACCGTGAGCAGCCGGATGCTGGGGGCCGAAGTTCACGGTGTAATGTCTGATCTTCCGGTTCTCAACGGCTTCGCCATCGGGGAGGTTTGAGTCGGGGGTGATGTTCAAGTGTTGAGAGTCTTCGGAATTCGTGGAGTGGGCGAAGTGCTCGTCGGTTGGGATCAATCTCGTGGCTTCGTAGGGCTCTGCGTATCTCCGCGCTGGAGCAGCGGAGAAGAGGCGTATCGACGCTCGAGGAGCAGAGGTGGTGGGAAGTGCAGGGCGCAAGCAGAGGCGTTTGGCATGGCGGCCGGCCAGCCGAGTGAGGGTGGACGCCATTGTACTCAAGAAAGGGAAAGGAAAGGAAAGGAAAGGAAGGATGAGGAGGATCTGATTCGATTTGTTGTAACCAGACCTCGAGCGTCTGGCGATTGAGTTGCAGGAGACAGGCGAGAGGTGTGGGAGGCGAGAGATGTTTGAACTTCGCCAATCCAATGATGAGGTTGATGATTACCCGGAACTCAAGCTTGGCGCTAAATAGCTTCGGACCCCTGCACATGCGGCCGAGCGTATCAAAAAATATTTTGTGGTAAAAGAGCTTCACTTCACAGACCCTGCCCTCAATCCCGAACTTCTATGAGCAAAAATGGCAGCTTCTAAAGGAGCTTCTCAGCCGTCGCAGGCCGAATTGGAGCGCAGAAGAGTAAGGAAAATATGATTCTCGCCTTTGCATTCTGCTAATGCCGTTTACAGATTGTGGGGATCAATTCAGAGACAGTCACAGATATCACCTCGACTGATTTCCCGGGCCATGTGAGTCCTTTATTTCTTATTAAATACTAGAAAAATATTCGCACCTGTTCAAATGCACTCCGGCACCTGGAAAATATCTGGATATACAACTTGCCTATGCCTATTTTCAGAGAGGCGCAAAGCTGACTGATGCTCCAGTACCCAGGTGAAGACCATTCCTGGGACGTTAAGAAATTCAGAAAAGACTTCCAGGTCAAATTCCACCACAACGACCCCACCGAAGCCTCCTTCTCCCTCATCGGCCTCGATGCCTCAGTCGCCAATGCCTTCCGCCGCATCATGATAGCCGAGATCCCAACTTTAGCCATCGAAAACGTCTATATATACAATAACACCTCCATAATCCAAGACGAGGTCCTTGCGCATCGCCTCGGCCTGATCCCACTGAAAGGCGGTAACGAGGGACTTCTAGACTACCTGAAATGGCTCAAGAAGCCGGAAGAGTCGTCCCAGGAATCGCCGGTGAACTACGACTACAACACGATCCTGCTGGAGCTCAATGTCGAGTGCACGAAGAACCACGATGCGCCGAAGGGGGAGAAGGATCCGCTGGTGCTGTATCACAACGCGCACATCTACGCCAAGGATATCAAGTTCAAACCTTTTGGGAACCAGCACAAGTACTTCAGCGGCGAGGATGCTATTGAGACTACGAATCCGGATATCTTGATCGCGAAGCTACGGCCGGGCCAGTGCATCGAATTGGAGATGCATGCGATCAAGGGTGTCGGAAGCGATCATGCCAAATTCTCGCCCGTGGCTACTGCCTCGTACCGTCTGCTACCTACGATCTCGATTCTGAAGCCGATTCTGGGGAAGGATGCTGAGAAGTTTAAGAGTTGCTTCCCGGAGGGTGTCATTGGCATTGATAGGGTTACTAAGAAAGAAGCAGAGATGGTAGGAAGCGGCTATGAAGGACACGAGGGAGAGAAGAAGGCTGTGGTATTTGATACGATGAAAGATACGGTCAGCAGGGAGTGCTTACGACATGAGGAATTTAAGGACAAGGTCAAGCTCGGAAGGATACGAGATCACTTCATATTCCAGGTTGAGAGTTTGGGGCAGTGGAAAAGTGATGAGCTGTTCATGGAGTCTATCAAGGTCCTGAGACTTAAGTGCGAGAACATGAAGAGGAGCCTGAACAACATGGCATCAACATGAGCGCTGGCAGATGAGATTACGATCGGAAAGAAAGAAGGGCAAGCATTGCAGGAGTTCTTGGTTCTGGCGTTGGATGGCTTCTTGACAGCTAAACAGCTCAAGTCTGAGGCTTCTGTTTAGAGGGAATAAATTCTTCATGGATATCATGTCATCATAAATTCATCATCCGCATGCTCACCGCACTCCCGTGATCGTGCAATCCATAGCAACGTTTCTCCAGCCGCTGTTCCCGAACCACATCAGAATGCAGCGCCTTTGGTGTTTTCCGACTGAAACAAAAGAACAACCTCCTGGGAGTACTTGACCTTGAACTTGAAATTGACAGTGCCCAAGGACGGGTCAGAGACTGCAATTTCCTCGCCGTCCACAATGAGCTCGTGGATCTTCTTTTCAAGATTCGGCGCCGTTGCCACTCTCAAGCTCTCCGGACTTTGCATATACAGAGTCTTAACCTCGGAACGGATGGAGGGCTTCTTGAGCTGTGCTTCTGGTCTGGCAGCCAAGGACTCGATGAACTCTTGCAAAGTGAGGTTTGGGTTGACATTGAGACCGCGTGCAAGGTTTCCGCATACTGGGCAGTCGTCCTTCTTCTCGTGCTTGAAAGTATATGTGTAGATGCTGTCGTTGCCGCTGTACATCATGTAGTTCTCTTCAAGTCCGAGAGGTGGGTTCGTCGATGTAGCGATCTTGAAGGCTTCGTTGCAACAACTTGCCGCAATCACTGCGTTGGTCGAGGCAATGGCCGGAATGATGTTTTTGACAACGCCCTGCGTCAAGGAGTAAGTGACACCAGTAATGTTAAATTCCTTTGCTCGGGTCTCAGCCTTTTTGAACAGCCAGGTGATATGTTCCGGGTCATCGTTGTCCAGCTTTGGAAATGGCTTTTCTTGCTCCCATGCAATGATATGAGCCCACTCTATACAGTGTTCAGGTTGGCGGGGGATAGTTGCCAGCGTGCAGAGAGGAACGGCAGCTCTTGGAGCGTGCATGTCGAGCTGGCATTCGATACAAGAAGTCATCGTAGGGAATATGACACGCGATTGGCCCTTGAACCCTAAGAGACTGTTTAGTCAGAGCATTGGGCGTCATAACTGGGAACGCCTATACCTTCAGTACCACCATCTATTAAAGGTTTCAGACTCTCTGGATCGTTGTCGTCGACCAAATTCACCAGCGTGGAGTTAATCCATCTCCGAGCTTCTATGCTGTCCAGACCGCAAATAACGATGTTGAACTTCATGTAGAAGTCATCGTCCTTATCCTGAATCTTGCAATTGTGAGGTGTGATCGAGACTCCCTTGACCCTCTTCTCAACGAACTTTGCTGCAACTTCAGCTTTTGATTTACCCACGTCGGCCTGGCGGAACAGGAACTGGCGATTGAGATTCGAAACGTCGATAGTGTCTAGTGGCTTTGAGTAAGCAAGCATGGTCGAGTTCGCGGGCTTTGAACCTTACCCATATCAATAACATGAATATCCTTGAATCCAGAAAGAGCCAGATTTTTCAATATCTCACAACCTAAGCCTCCAGCGCCTCTGCCCGTCAATCAGCATCCCACTGCATCCAGTATTCCTAGGTGACCAACATGACTCTATATTCAGATTAGCATTGCTTTAATCAAGCTTGCTTCTTGCTACGAACAAGATACTCATTCTCTCTATGTTCGTAGCAGCCTCCTCACTCGAGACGAACTCCTCAGTCGTGAACGGTCCAGTATGGCGGAGGAAGTTGTTTAGATAGAGCCTAGATTGAAGGAAGTATGATGATCAGCCTAGAACTTGGAAGTGGCTAGGGAGGCTTACCATCTTTCTTCTGATTCCGCCTTGGGCGGCGACAGTATCCTATGAGAGACTTGCACCGGTTGCGACATCTCGACTGATGTTGTTGTAGAGGGATCAATCGGAACTCGTGAGACTATCGTGAGACTAATAAGTTGAAGTTGTTACCTCTTGAAGAGGGAGTGCTCTTGCTTATCGCTTATCCGCCTGCAGCACTAGCGTCACCAGCCACATTACAACATCTTACCCGCTCGCAGCTCATCACGAGATCTGTTCACCTCGAGATATCTTCACCTCAACTACAAACGCGAAACCGAGAAGTTGCAGCAGTCAAATGTCGATATGGAGGGTTTACTCACCCCCGTGAGTACCTCATACAAGACTTCCATCAGAGATACTGGAGATGCGCTGGTAGAAACTCCCAATGCAGCACAAGCGAGACCGAGGCCCACGCTCCAAGCATCAACACCAGCAGAAGCGCTCGAGATTCTCCGCAATGAGCCAGATCACGATAATCTGATAGAGACGTTGCGATTCCTCGGAAAATCAAGTCCCGAATTTGACATCACATCACCAAGCCCTTTGGCAGCTCAACTCGTTCATATTCTGGTCTCGGACACCGTTCCGAACTACTGGGACGTCCTACAGAACTCTCAAAATGGAAAGAGCTCAGGATCTCGGAATAGCGCTCGCAGCTCTCCAGAGCTTGAGATTCTACTTTCCTGTCTTCGGAGCGTTACAGGTCTGAATGCAGTTTTGTTGATTCTGAAGGAACAGATTCAAAAATCCAAAGAGTCCAAGAAAGCTGTTGGTGGTCCGAAAATTGAAGATATCCTGGTCATTGTCTTGCAACTCCTCCAACGCCTGCTACAGGGAGTCAAGACCGTTTCGGTGATTTGGAACAGTATATTCAATACTGTGGAAAGTCCACCAAAGCAAAAGGCTATATGGAACGATTTTCTGGGTCTCGTAGGTGGCGGAAAGATTCTGGGCACTGCTGCGGAAGCGGAAGATGCCATTAATGATCTCAGCAAGAAGATTGGCGAGAGACACTGGGTAGCGGACGGGACTCTTTACAGCCGATGGTTGTCTGAAAATATCATATATTGGGCGAAGAACCTACCCACTGAGTCAGAGAACGGCTGGAAAAATTGTGCTGAGCTACTCAGCAAAGGTTTTCGACTTGGACATACGGGTATGTGTGTTTTACGAGTAGAATGAGCTTCATTACTGATGTGACCGCAGAAAGTATTGTGAAAACCGTTCTTACGTCCTTGGTGTTTGAGAAGAAGGAATACCATGCTGAATTCTTGAAGCTCATCGAAAGCCTGCCAAGCTTTGACCAACGAAATGTCCTCTCTTGTGTTCTGAAAATAGTCTCTAGGGAACATATGTATTCGCCCACTACAAGTGAGGCGAATCAATGGTGGAAGTCCGATGCACCTATCGTTGCAGCTGCTTCTGGCTTAATCAATTTAATCGTTGCTGGACACGGAACTCGAAAGAATATATTGATATCATGGCTGACTGATTCCTCTGGAGCCGGTGCGGGTGATGGAATTGCCATACGACGTGCAGTGATCGCAGCTTTAGCTGGAGACACGTCTGATATGGAGATGATTCTGGACAAAAGCTTACAGCAATTTGGAGATCAATTGTACATTAGACATACCCCTACATTGCAACAAGAAGGTAAGATTCCAACCTTGAATAATTTACACATCGCTGATGACTCCTAAGTACATACCCAAGTTCTCCTGCTTGCGGCAGGCTATGTCCACCGGAAGACACCTCTTCGTCTCACAATTATGATGAGATCAGGTACTCACCTGAGTGCGGTCTCAAATCGTCTTGCTGCATCCTCTCCCCGAGCCCGCTTCCTTGGTATGGCTGTTGGCGAAGCTCTCTCCAGCTTGACTGACAAGGGAGACAAGAAGATGGAATTCAAGGTAGACGAGATGAATACCGATGAAGCTCAATGGTACAAGAGTCTTGTCAACGTGTCAGATAGCATTGGGTCTTTGGAACCATTCAAGGCGGGGATTACGACCAAAGTTTCCAAGTCTAAACCGAAAGTTTCTCAGCAATCAAAGATATCAACGCCGATATCAACTGGATCAAAGATTGTTGCAATTGAAGAAGTCCAAGATTCCGACGAAGAAGAATCAACTGACGATGGCTTAGTGCCCTACGCCAAACCCGACTCGGATGCGGAAGATTCAGATGAGGATGCAACGCTCATCACCCGCAATAAACCTACAGCCCCAGTCTACATCCGGGACTTGATAACATACTTGCGAGATACGGAGAACTACGATCGCCAAAAACTTGGCCTAACTACAGCGGCACCACTGATCCGCCGCAAGGCCAGTTTTGGTACCGAAGTCAGTGCCCATGCAGAGGAACTAGCAACGCTACTCGTTGGGCTGCAAGACAAGTATGAAATTGAAAATTTCCAGGATATGAGAATCCAAGGCATGATAGCCGTCTTGGTAGCCCTCCCCCTGAAGATGGGACAATGGTTCTCGAAGACTTTCTTCGATGGCGACTACTCCATTTCCCAAAGAGCATCCGTCCTCACCACCTTGGGTTTGGGAGCTCGAGAAATTGGGGGCTTTGGCGCTGAAGACGAATCTCTCACAACCATGAAATCTCTCCCCACTGCAGGAAAACCATTCCCATCAAAGACCCTCCCTCAACACATCCACGCACATTACGCTCCGCCTTCAAAACCTAGACCGTTGACCTCGACTCCTATTTCAGCACTCGACACTCTCACTACAAATCTTGGCAATACCATGATAGCACCCATGGCCGCCAATCTCGCAGACAAGCTAACCGGACCCTCCATCCTCAAGATCCGTACCTTCTCAACCCGCATGGCGGTTGAAGCCAAGCGCAAGAAGCCCACCACCAACACCCTGGCCCAAATAGTCTCCCAAGGTTTCTTCTTCCCGCTCACAGGCCGGTTTACAATCCACCTCAAAGCTCTAGGCTCTTCCTCTCAGAATATCACGTTCCATCCCTACCTTCTCTCTCTCTTCCTCAAAACCCTCTCCCTACTCCTCCATGCTTCGGGCCCCAACACTCTGAGTCTGCCGCAAATGACTAGTGAGTTTTGGGATTTGTGCTTGGGGTTGAGGGCACAGAGCACAGGGGACGTCATGGTGCTAGAGGCGTTGCTGTTTGCGTTTCTGACGATACTCGAGGTTAACGGAGACAAGAGGGCGTTGGTGGAGGGCTTTGGACGGCAGATGTTGGAGACGCAGGAGTGGGTTGAAGGGATCTTTGGGAGGTTGGGGAGTGTGGGGAGCGAGGAGGATGAGAGAGTCCGGATGATGGCCGCTGGCGTGATAGCCAGGATTCGGGAGAACGTTGAGAAATACCAGGCTCTGCTGATGGGAGACTTGGCGAGCATCAGAGGTTGAGATGGGTATTTGGCAGGAGGTTCAATTACACGATCAAATGTTCCGATGCGTCACGGAAGCCCTGCTGAGCCTAGCTATTATGAGCTCTTCGATCCGAGTGAAATAGGTCAAAGGAAGGAGCTTATGAAACGGGTTAGTACGTTACGCGACATAAGAATCAAGGGCAAACCCAAATTATTATTCGTTGCAAGAAAGGTTTGGAATATTTATTTTCTTGAGGATCCAAAATGTGGATCTGTCTTGTTGCATGAACTTGTTATATCATAGAAGATTCCCCAGGCCGCCTCTAGGATGGGGATGAGTACGGATGTTACTCGGCCCGCTCTACCAGTGGGCTTATAGTAATACCCTTCTCTCATTGCCAGGCCAGCTCGATGGGATTTCAGATATAAAAGAATTTTGGCATTCCAAATACCCGAACAAAGGCAAGAACTTCAGATCAATGTCTATACCATGGAAGCCAATGAAGCTTTTATGCTAATGTCTGGTCAAGTTTTGTCTCTTTCATCCTTTGAAAGAATTTTCCAAGCTTTATCGCCTATGGCTGGCAAAATACCGCCTTTCATTGACTTACATCAAGGCCTGGAGTCCGTTCTAAAAGATCCAGATCCAGATATACTAGTATTCTTTGGCTGCTGGTAGGGAAGCTTCCATCCAGTCACCCGATGAAAACAAAGGACATAAGCTACAGCTACTTAGAGGCCAGCAATAATATCAGACGGTAACTCAAGATTTGTCCAGCGACCATGGACTGAAGGATTGTTCTGGTTTGGTGCTATATAGTATCCAGACCTAACCAAGACAGCGGCTGCAGGCCAAGTACCTCAGAAGACAGACAGCACGAGTGCTACCTTGAAATTCACCAACTTTCTGCACGCTCTTCTGCGAGGCAACTTCACCTTCAACTTCGAAGCTGAACTCGTCACCGACCGCCTTGGAGGGTGCTAAGACTGTCTCGTCCAAGCTTGTTCTCGGCTAACTAGCTCCAAAAACTGCGCTCGGACCAACACCAGAACGACGACATCGAGGCCGGGGCCTGTAGAGCTATGTGCAAGAGCAGCTCTACGTAATTAAAAAGATATAAATGGGATACAAACAGTCTCCACGTACAGGCGTTTCCAATGGTGCAAGAATGGAAACAATATTTGGTGCGGTTATTTTATAGCAATTATTGGAGTCGGATGGCGAAGGGCTTGAGCGATGTTTGTTGACTTCAATAACGTGAATACCCTCAACGCCAGAGACCCACAATAGTGCAAAATAATGCCACATAAAATGTCCTCACTTAGTGATCAATCGACGTCACACGTCAGTTTCACAACTCCCAGTTTGTTACTCTGCTCATCAACGACCTATATCGCGTGCGTTTTGAGATCTTGCTGTATCTTATGCGTCCTTGCCTGCCAGCAAGACATGAACCTCATCTAAAACACGCAGAGGACGCAATTGCTCTCCCTCCACCATAGCAATGCCTCCGTATAGAGCGTTGCCGCCTTCAACGGTGGGGGGGCGCACTGCATCCTTGAACACACCCACAGAGAGACGACTGTCTCGGCGCTACTCATCGAGAGTGACGATTGCGCGGGGAGAGCGGGTGGAAATTGGATACGCGCCTGGTATGTTTGACCTATCCCTTCTGTTTACTAAACCCTGACTTTGGACCAGTAAGAGAAAGCATACCCGAAGCCGTAGATACTACGTTCTCTTCGGCACCGACGAGAATCAAGTACTCCAGAGGGGTTCTACACCAAGTTCAGGACCACAAAGGACCACCAAGGAATAATATGCCGAGAAATACAAAGCCAGCGAGAACCTCCCTACTCAAAAGAACTTTTAAAGGACTCGAGGGACTTCTCAAGACGAACAGCACGCGGAAAGCGAAGAGGGCAAATACAAAGCTCGCAGTAAGCAGAAAGGCCAATTACAAGAACAGCGAGGCACAAGTTCGATCTCGGAGTCCAAGTCGGCCACGACCGACGGTGGTTGAGTTGACCCGATCTACCACACGCTTTTCGCTGGAGTCGGCCGGGGACACACCCCCGGCCAAATTGAAGCCATCTGCTACGCGGTTTCTGCTCGATTCGGACTCGGACGGCGACAAGCCTCACCCCCTTCGGTCGAACCCGCCTGAATCACGGTTCTCGTTCGAGTATGGCGATACCATCCGAGCCCAATCACAGCGTGGTCGTGTCGAATCTCAGGAGCACTCTCGCGAGACTCGGGAAGATAGCAGTCCTCTCGAAGAGCAGAACGCGAACACGCGACCAGATGCACCAGCCCTATCCAGGCTACAGGGCTCTCATGTACGTAACCATGAGTCTTCCGGGGCCGGGGAATCGTCGTCGGTTGGCCTGCTCGGACGACTTCGAATGCGCGCGAGACATGCCCGTGAGCATCTCGTGAATGCTCGTTTGTTCCCGTCACGTGCGCCATTCCCGCCACAGTCACCAGCCACCGCCGCTAGGACTCCTTCATCTCCATATCGACCTCCACCTCCACCTCCGCCCCCTCCGGCCTCATCGATCACATCCACACACGTTACTGCTGCTGCTGCAGTTGATCCTAGGACCAGAGAAGAGACGCTGAATGAGAAAGCCGCCCCAGTCGGTGCTGGCCAGGTCGAACGCAAACGAACCGTGACTTTCGCCGAGGCCAGAATGGACAATAGCAGGCTGTCGGTCCGTCCCCAAGAGACCAGCCATGTCAAAACCAAAGCCGTGGAGGATGCCCGCCAGATGCAGGCCAAGGTCAACGAGGAATGCAAGAAGACGGGCAAAGATCCGCCTCCTTACGGGCTGGAAGAACTGATTGGCAAAGGAAGCTTTGGTAGAGTCTACAAGGGGTAAGTAATCTATTCCAATCACGTGTGTCGACAGCTATTGACAACACCAGGAAAGACATGAAGTCGGCAGCTGTTGTGGCCATCAAGATCATAGACATTGACGAGAGTGATACCGTCAACCCTCGAAATGCAGACTCTTACAGCGAGTTTCTCAAGGAGATCAATGCCTTGAAGATCTTGGGCGAGAACAAGGCCAAGAACATCAATCTTGTCATTGAAGCTCTACCTGTCAACCAGGCCATGTGGATGATCACAGAGTTCTGTGGAGGTGGAAGTGTTGCCACGTTGGTAAGTGCAGATGCGGATACTTTTTGAAGTGATACTCACACACGAGAAGATGAAACCAACAGCCCCCGGGGGGCTCAACGAAAAATGGATCATTCCGATTCTGCGCGAGGTTGCCGAAGCTATTAAATGGGTCCATCAGGCCGGTATAATTCACCGGGACATCAAATGTAAGTTAACAAATACAGCTCAAACTCGCTTTCGAATTGCTACTAATGCCACCTAGGTGCGAATGTTCTTGTGACTGAAGAAGGCAATGTGCAATTATGTGATTTCGGTGTCGCTGGAATCGTTGAGAGTAAGATTGATAAGAGGTCTACTATTATTGGCACGCCGCATTGGATGGCTCCTGAACTCTTTGGGCCTTCGCCAAATTACGGCAACGAAGTTGACATTTGGGCTTTCGGGTCGATGGTCTATGAGATTGCGACTGGTCTTCCTCCTAACGTTGCTAATGGAATTTCATACGATCGTCTTGGGAGCCACTTGAAGAACCATACGCCCAGACTGGAGGGAGGCAACTATTCGAATAATCTCCGAGATCTCGTCGCGTACTGTCTCGAAGAAGATCCGAAGGCACGTCCGCCCATCGATCAAGTGCAAAAGCACCCATACATTCTGAACACCAGCTCCTTATTCCCTACGCAAACACTGAAAGATCTTGTAGGGTCTTTTAAAGTGTGGGAGGCTCGGGGCGGCAGTCGCAAGTCTCTGTTCATGCATCATGGTGCTGCACAGGGGTCAACTCCTTCGTACCCAAATTCCGACGACGAGTGGAACTTTAACGCAACTGAGATCTTCGAACAAGATGTATGGAACGGGTATACATATAAAGATGTAGTCAATGCTTATGGTCCAGGAGTAGTATTCGCCGACGAGACGACGCGCCCAGTAGCTACCAAGAGCAGCAGACGACGCCCTCCTCCCGGAGCACTATCACGTATGCCTATAGCTCCACTGGAAAAGATTTTTGATCCGAACACGTTATCAAACTATGAGGACAACAGTCGTGCTCACTACGGCGGACCCATGATGTATTCAGGCTCATTAGATCGCTCAGGAGATCTACCACTGCGAGACGATACTGCCCATGTAACAATTCGCGATACACTGATTGATCTTGATGGCCTGGGTACAATGATAGACCTCGGTGGCCATGATGCCGAAACCGGACAGTCAAGCTTCCCGGACATGAACACGATCCGCGCCGACCGGAGAGCTAGAGATGAAGACGAGGACGATTACTCGTCAACACTACCAACACTACCCGATTTTAGCAGACCTGCCTTGAGTGACCCATCAGAAGTCAAAAACAACAGGCGTACCCAGGACTGGAAATTTCCGAGCATGGCCCCCCCCTCATCCGCAGATCCGGAAGTGTCAAGATTTCCCGCGGCCCAGGAGGTTCCTCGTCCGACTGTGATGCCAGGGTCGGATGGACGTCCTGCATTAATCCATCACCCTACGGAGCCCTTGGGCGCCTTTGGTGGGGCTCTCGGGCCAGTACAGCCAACAAATCATCGAATTTCAGTTCGAGGCTCTTTAATCGACCTTGATATGAGCATGCCAAATATCATCAATGATTTCGCTCGCCCGTCGACCGCCAATTCGGATGTGGGCTATGGCAACCCTTTTGAGCTGGAGAAACATGCCTCATTCCAAATGCCACTTACGGTCGATCAAGGCGGCCGGGAACCCTCTATATACGTGTCCGATGAGTCTTCGATCCCATTGAGCCTGCGAAATGGCAACGGCTTCCAGGATCTTGCTGAACTATCCAATTTCCCAGCTACTGAGGCTGAGGGCACCAATGGTCGTGCTCGAGACATGACCAGCTCTTACGAAGATTCCGCTGAAAAATACGATGTCAATAATACTTCAAGCAATGATCACGGGGAAGGCAGCAACCAGGTACCACAATACGATGGAGCAGACGACTCGGATTACCTGTCAATGCCACCCGGTTCAGTGCGGTCTACGCAAGCAGTGACACCCTCACTCTTGGCCTCCTTCCCGGATAGATTCCCTGAACTACCAGCTCCTCCTTCTGAAGCATCCCTTTCTGGAACCGCATCTATGCCGGAAATGGCGCACGAGATCACCCGGATGGTAGCCGCCATGAGCAATCAGCTCGAGGAATTCAAGAACATCTACAAATCGTAGCCGCTGGCAGTTGCCAGCCAGAAGGTACTTACTAGCTTGAGGCGAGCCCATGGCCAATCAAGTAAAGATACTAATTTATGAACATCAGCCAACGCTATCACTCAGTTGACGGCCGACGCGTGAAGATATGGCATCCTTGTTCTAAGATTCTGCGAAGTCATTTGGTTGATGGCGTGAATCGCTTTTCTTAGGACAAGAATTTGGGCATTTCCTGTAATATACAACATGTTTGAGTCATTGGGTTTCCGATGCGAGGCATGCGTGCGATGACGATGAAGATGAGTTACTAATTAATGCATGCATCTGCAAAATGGGGAGTCTGGATGATGGAGGACGGACTATATTTTTGGGGAGAAAAGTCATAGCGACGGTGTTCAATCTTTGAAGGGGAAAAAGGAAAGGGTCCTTTTTCAGCTGCTACTGCTACTGCTACTACTGCTACTACTAAGAGAGGCCGGTGAGCCCCTCTTTCACGATCGATATACGAACGGAAATGAAAATAATGTTTCGAGCTTGGTTCCTTTGCTTTGATGAGGGGATGTGACGGACGGGCGGTAAATGGTCGCTCACGACACTGAGAGTAACATACATACATGCTTCTAAATGGCAGTGATGTATGTATATTTCCCATTCACCCCCAATCACTCCCAATTACTCCCAATCACACGTTCACATCAGTCAAGCCCGTCTGTTGGCCGTCAAGCACAATTTTTTTATAGAAATAATAATAAGCTTTAAATACAATGGTCGATCACATATCTAATGACATTAAAACCCCAGACCGGCCCCTTTCCAAGCAGTAAGTAAGTACCTGAACCAGCCTACAATGTCACAGTCTAAGAGGGCAGCCGGGCCCTGTCTGTAATAAAGAGGGGGTGCTTGAAACGAAACCGTCCAGGGCATTCTACTACACCCTCCCTCCCTCTCCCCCTCCGTCTGTCCAAACCATCGTCTCATCCCACACACCTTTTTTAATTTTACCTCCTCCGTACGTTCTTTTTAAAATCTGTTGTCTTGGCCCCTGTACGTCTGGTCATTAACCCACTGACTCTGAGTCTGGTATCTCGCTTGAGTCTCCGGCTCCGGCTCCGGCTCTGCCGAATAAGTCGCCTGGGCAAACCTGGTGTCCAGCGGTTGGTTCCACCGCTCGTCTGGCATGACTGGCAGTTGGGCGTTCGGATAGGCTCTGCTTGCAGGTAGATGTTCGTTTACATTTGTGTTTGCGTTTGAGGACGAGTCTGCGTCGCCGTACCCGGATCCTTCGTTGCCGCTGGCTGAGCGGATGTGGTTTCCGTTCGGCTGCATGTCGATGCCTTGCTGCCGGGTCGCTGAGCGCATGAGCCCTCCGTGCATTTCCCGCGGTGCACTGCGTCAAAGTCAGCCATCAGCTCGGTTGACTTGGTGTACTAGAGAAGCCATGCAGCTAATTCAAGCAAAGCCAGATCGGACGGTAACGTTTCCAGTACTTACAGAAGTTCTGGCCGGACATATCCCAGCCTCTCTTCGCGCTCGATGGCGTTGTTCGTCAGTGTTGATTTCCTCGTCGGGTCTGCGAAGGGGTTGCTTGGATCAACGAATGGGTTGTCGTTTTGGACTGTTCGCTCCGGCATTCTCGGCGGGAGATAAGCCGGGAAAGAAGGTCCTGTAGCTGACGGCAATGAGGACATCTGGGGCCCTCCTCCAATAGGGGGATTCTCGCCCGACGGTGCCCCACGGCTTGCCAAGTCGGCGGCTATCTTACGATTTTTACTCTTCTTGTAGACAAAATGCCAGGTGAGAAATATCAGAGCTCCGAACGCCACTATGGAACTTGTTAGAGCCCGCAATGACTTCGTACTTGGTTACAGGGAACCTTGCTACTTACACACCACCGAAACGGAAATTATGACTGCTTCCACCCCAGTCGTGATCGTGGGGCCGCTGGTAGTGGATGCTCCAGCTGTAGCTGAGGGTTTAGTCACCTCCTCTTGGGCATTGCCACTATCTGGCCGGGCAAGTTCGCTGGCGGCAGGGACAGGAGGGTAGGCTGGCATTGATGATGATGAAGACGATGGATTAGAAGATGTTCGGGCCAAGTTAGTAGCAGCAGGTGCTAAAGATGGAGTACTCGCAGCCACCCCAGTAGTCAAACCAGTCAACAGTGTCGGTGGTGCTGTAGCTAAAAGGGGAGGTGCGTTATTCCCTTGATCTGGGGTAGTCGGGCTGTTAGTGGTGGTAGAAAGTGAGGAAGACGATGTCCTAAGTATCGCTGGTATTTGTGGTGGGGATTGAAGACCCTGTAACCATCAGCATTGAAGCATTAATTAAAGGACCGTCTCGGCTCACAGGTGTAGTAGAACTCAGACTAGGATCTCGGGTATAAGTTGTACCAGATTTCACATCCACCCATATGGTCATTGTAACTGTAGGTTTCGGGGGGTCCGGTTCGCCCCGGGGTCTATTGCCCGACCCATTTTCAACCTTTTCGTTGTCCATCGATTCCCGTTCCCCGCCCCGAGCTTTCAAGTTGCGGCCCTTCCTCTTTCTTTCTGCACGATGATCGTGGATTACTGGAATGATTGACATCGCCACCTAAAAATCGTATCAGGAGATGAAACCAGGCTCCTGCTGCTCGAGGATGAACATACGCTGTCACCAAAAGAAAGAAAAGGAATTGGCCCTGCCAAAGTATGATTAAAATGGAAAGAAAGCTGCGAAGAGTGTGACGGTTTAGAAAGCAAAAAACAAAATGAAATCTGGCAAGAGAGCGAAGCAGCATGGCCGCTGGAAAGTAGATCCAATTCCACCACCGCTGATCAGGGAAGAGTCAGAGAGCACCACGATGAAACTTCCAAACATCAATGTGTTCTAGGCCACGCGGCAGAAAGGTGTAGGTTGTAACAGAAGACAGCCAGACCTGCTGTCCATCACGATGAAGTGGACATGGTGACACCTCAATGCTCTTGGGATGTTTTGGCTTTGGCCGCAGAGGCGAATGCTGAGACTGCCAAGCTTCGTATCTTGGGATATCTGTAGCCAGGACAAGAATCATCCCAGCCAAAACAAGATCCTTCTGCATAGAGCAGCAACTCTTGTCGTGGTCATTTGCGAGCTTAATTTGTCGACATCGGTTCGAATAACCCTCTTTGCGCGAGTTGAAGAGGCTGGCCGCCAGAACGAGCAACTTGGCATGCGAGCACTCCCGTAAAAACGTGACAATGTCTGGGAGCTATGGATCTGCAGGCCTAAGATAGCAACGACCGGGACCCTTCCAGTATATGCATAAGGACCGGTGCTGACAACTTGCCTTCGATCCCAAGACAGACAGACCCCATTCCATGCCTGGGAAGGTTGTCCATCGCTTTGGAAGTTGATATCCCACGACATTTATTGGATTCCTAGCCACCGTGAAGCTGTGTATTGAGTCTCCAGAGAAGGAAAGATAAGGAAGGGTTTGGACGTCTTTAGAAAGACATCTTCCGCAGATTCAGATGGGCTGGTACGTAGATAGTTCGTATGTTGTACCTATTGGATCTGCTAACCGAAAAAGTCATCGAAGCTATCTCGACAATCAATGACCTGCAGATGCCAACCTAAACAATGATTTAGAAGCGTTTCCAGTCCACAGCACCCTCTTTTTGGTGACCGTTGTGTGGCTGGCTGCATAATGACGCCGCAACGCGCGATGATCGACAAGATCTCCGTACAGCACTTGACCGAAGCGACTGCATGGAGAATGTGAGGCTGCGGCGCAGAATACATCTACGAGATGCAAGGCAAGGCAAGGTACAGTAGTCCAGAGAATGGAATAGACTGCGTATGCGTACAACAGTAACATGTGAGAGGAATACGCGCGGGCTGTGTTGGCAATACCGTGAACAGATCTTCTCCTCAATATTCTGTACCAGCATCGGATCCCTCGAGGAAGTTGGAAATTGGAGCCACTGAAGGCCATAGCACCAGATTCAAGGTCTGTGAAACGGCCGACGCAATGTCAAACCTCTTGACATGCACTATCATTCGCAAGTTTGGGCCATCATTTTCAACTGGCACATCGGAAAACTTGGTAGTAATAGTAGCAACAACAAGGATGGCGGCAAGAAGACTTCAATCGGTATAATGGAATGTGTCGAACAGATGCAGGCGATTATCTGATGTGTTCGTTCGGCAGCGGGAGCCGGAATCCATCTGGGCCACTATCTTTTTGAGTGCAGGATATTGTGCCAGCGAGAAAAGCGGATAGAATGCCCTCCGATTCACAGAGCGTGGATGGCCACCCGGTGTGGATGTGATAATTCCGATCTGGATCTGCTCGATGTTGAAAGTCTGAAAGTTGATAGTTTAAAGGTTGAAAGGTTGAAAGTTGAAAGTTTAATGTTGAATTCTTGGGAGACGGGGACAGGGAATGTCAAAGCTTGGACCATACACGCACTTCACTTCTGACCAGATACTTGGGAATCCGGACCACACAACCAACCATCCAGTCTTGCGCATCTCCCCCCCCCCTCCCCACACAGAACCTACCTAGGTACTGACTATCCCAAATCCAAGTGAACAATCATGTTCAACGCCCTCAATCGATTCATCTCCCGGCTGGATTCCGACGCTCCGGCCCAAAGATCAGATCACAATGCCTTCGGATTCCAGGTCCTGAGGAACAAGACGTTAGAGCTAGCCATTGAGCCTTGGTTCGACTTCATCGTGGGGATCAATGGCCGGATGATCGTGAGTAGAGTGGAAATGATGCTGCTGCCTGCTGCTGGGGAACTTGCTAAGCTGTGCCTCAGGATGACTCCGACCCAGCTCTTTTTGCGCAGGAGATTCGCAACTGCGCCGGAAGCACTGTGACCCTCGGGCTCTGGAGCGCAAAGGTACGACGACCCTGATCCTACCCAATCCAGGAATCTCGAATACAGAGTATATTTTTTCCTTCTGTTTCTCTTTTTTGACACGAATGCTTGCGTAGGGCCAGCGGACACGAACGATTCACATCCCCGTCCCAGCCGAGAAGCCCTCCCTGGGCCTCACGCTGCAGTGGACATCCATCTCCACCGTCTCCAACATCTGGCACATCCTCGACGTGCCCGCCAACTCGCCCGCCGACCTGGCCGGGCTCCTCCCCTACAGCGACTACATCCTCGGGACTCCGGAGGGGTTCCTGCACGGCGAGAGCGGGCTGGGCGAGCTGGTCGAGGACCACATCGGCCGGCCTCTGCGGCTGTATGTCTACAATAACGAGTACGACGTCACCCGCGAGATCACCATTCATCCAAGCCGCGACTGGGGCGGCGAGGGCGCGCTGGGATGTGTCCTTGGGTACGGAGCTTTGCACAGATTGCCTGCACCGCTAAGCGAGCCGGTTGCTGGACCAGGAGAGATGCTGTTTGAGACGGAGACCGCAAGGTTCTCGAACGAGGACATGAGGCCGGGCTCTGGGGGGTACCTAGTTCCAGGCGAGGCTTTGGCGCCAGGAGATTTCTTGGTTCCCGCCCAGATGATCGCACCGGCTGTGGGAGCGGCTGCTCCGGCGCGGAAGAAGGAGAAGAAGCATGCGCATATTCCTAATAAGGGTTTGATGGATGACTATTTCACTGAGGGAGAGCAGAAAAGCAGAGAGTTGGACCATGCTCCCAAGGCCATGTCCACGCCGCCTCCTCCGCCGCCGAAGGCCGGGGGTCCACCGAAGGCTGGCGAGACCAAGACTTCGGAGGAAGACAAGAAGAAGGTAGCGGAGACAGAGGATAGTGGTGTAGATTAGTTTCTCTGGCTGTTCAGTTATGCAGAATCTATTCTCGAATTGAGTGACCACCACCGCCAGCGGTATCACCACAACCTGCGGCTATCACCATCCTATTCGTTCCACTCTGCGTTCCACTCCCATGTGCATATAGCTTGCACTCGTTCCAACGCTCAGTAACGACAACTTTTTCTATTCCTACATTCATTCCTCTTGCCTATTCTGGAACTCGTGCCTCCTCGGGTATGATACAGCTCAATTGATGAAGTTAACGCAAAAGAAATGCAAGATCAAGCTTCCAAAGACGTAATCCGCAAAGGCCCTGTCACAAGCATTAGCCACATCCCCTCTCCCCACGTCCAGCCAGGAGGTAGTATATTCCATACCTCTCAGGCGAGACATCAACAAACTCCGCCTTGTTCTCCACGTTCGTCTGTATCCTCAGAGAAGCTACCCAAACCCAACGCGTCAGCTCATCTACCCTGTGCCAAAAATCTTCTTCTTTCCCTTTTTCTCACCCTCGTCCTGATCCTCGCCCGCGCCTTCTTCCACCGCACCTCACCACAGGGGACAAAAGAAGACTCACCCGTCAAAACAAACTGGCCCACCGTCGCCGAGAAGCCAGACAGGAAAGCGTTGAAGGGGTAGTTCCCGGCGATAACGCAGTACACGAACTGCAGCACGCCGACGACGACCAGGAAGCCCATGAACGCGTCGATCAGCTTCGTCCGCTGCGGCGTTTGGGCTAGGTAGTTCTTCCATATGCCATAGGCGACGTCCTGAGGCGATTGTCTGGAAGAGAAAGATGAGGAGGAAGAGGCCTTGGGAGCGGCTTTGGTGGGGGTTGATGCTGCTGATGGGACGGAGCCGGCGGATGTGGAGGAGGATTGGGTGGTTGCGGCCATGGAAGGGTGGGGATCGCGGGCGGAGGAGCGTTTGGGCGCCATTGTGTGAGTGAGGAGATGGTGGGATGGAGATCGCGGTTGGGTTTGGAGGGGAGTTGATGCGGTGGCGATGCTGCTGAGGTGGTGTTCGACGTGTTTCCTGGATAACTTGGAGCTGTGAGGCCACGCAGCTTGAATCCTTGATGGTGGTTGATGCCAAGATTAAGTACGATCCGAGCTTGCGGGCAGGGGTGGACTTTTTGAGAGACGGATCCGAGGGGTAAAGCAGGCTAGCTACCCCAGATTACACCTTTTAAGAATGTAAACACTTCAACGTCTCCGTCCCTCCCCAAACAAGAAATTCAAAAGTCACAGAAATAACACCCTGTTGAATCCATCCTCATCAGTTCAATCCGCCAACATGGGTAAACACTCCATCCAAGCTTGCTATTTTTCAAGAACAGCTCCGCGCCATGGTGGAATGATCCGCTAAAGCCAAGTACCCGTCACAGGAATCGAGACGCCCGCATTCATCCTGGGAGCTCTCACTGCCGGAGGTGGAATCTTCGGATACATCAAGACGGGCTCTATCCCTTCAGTCACGGCCGGAGTCACCGTCGGTGGCCTGTAAGTATTCTGTTACTTTCATATGCCCAGTACGCTTGTTGACATGCGACCAGCTACATTCTTGGCGGCTACCGCATTCAGAGCAGGCAGAGCTATGGAGTTCACCTCGCTCTTCTCGCTTCGATCGTCCTTGCTGGCTCTTCTATCCCAAGAGCCATCAAAAGCCAGAAGCCTCTGCCATCTATGTTGAGTCTGTTGGCTGTCTATGGGCTCTACACGTATGGAAACGCGTTTAGAGCAAGAGTTTAGGGGTTTGGAGGATGAACTCTGCGCAGATGTGGTGGAGGACAGCTGGATCCGTGTCCGAGTGGTTCGTAACACACAATGAGATGCATGTCCTGATGACCGAACCACCATCTTGAATTAACCATTCCAGCCTTCCTTCCCGTTTGTGCTGTGCCCTTGCTCGAGGAACACTGTAACAAATCATCTCCCGTAGCTTTCCACGTTCTCTCTGCACACCTCTCCGCTTGTCGCTTGTAAACGTATGTGTGGATTCGGAGTGATAGCCATCGACTCTGGTATTGTACAACCCAATGGGTCCATTCAGCCTCCATTCAGCCTGGCCGCCCAAAAACGCCCATACCACGCCCCCAAATTCCCAAACTCCCCCTCCTTATAACACAGATAGATATGCCGCACCACACCAACACCTACACCCACAAACATCACTCTCCCTCTCTGCCGTCACGAATTCGCATCAATCTCCGCCCACTTGGCCCTAATCTCTTCATTCTTCACGCGGGCCTTTTCGCGATTGAGCCGCGTCCGCTCCAGGCGTTGGGCGCGCAGGCACTTGTTGACCTGCGTCTTGGCGCCGTTACACATGCCGACGGCCTTCCAGAGGAAGCCGCGCGCATGGCACTCTTCCAGGGCCGTCATGACTTCCTCGCATGCTGTGGGATTGGCAGCGGAAGTGGTTAGCGTTTGTCCGTCCGTACTGCAATTTGTAGTCTGGTGCTCTTGAGTGGATTTGAAAAAGGGCGAGTTGGAGGAAGAGGGGGAGAGGGGAGTGGAGAGGATTTACCGGTGTTGTCTTTGGTGTGCAGGTGAGGGTGCATTTTTGGTTGTTTTGTCGTCGATGATGCTGGTGGAGCAGATCCTGCTTGGGTATACCCTATGCACAGTAGAAGATTTGCGACTTTTCCTATCTGTCCGGACAGAGGAAGTAGACGTGTGTTAGAGCCCGAGTCGATTTTGTGGTCCTGCCAAGACAATCGAAAGTGGAGACTTTTCGATATTTTTGTCAGCCTCGCGTCGAGCCCTACGGAGTCTATGCTAGACAGCAGCTTTCCAGGTCTCAGGAAACTTCACCACCGGAAAAGCATCAATCATATCATGGCGCAACAAATCACCCAGAGAAAGCAGCAAGGTCGGTTCAGGTCCTTCTTTGATAGATCCTACACTTCGTTCATGATGTTCAAGGGGAAAAAGAGGGAATGGCAGCTAACTTCCCTCGCCCTACCTACTCAGAGCTGCAGAACCAATACACCAACTACAAGAACGGCCTGCAACAAATCGCCTCAAAGATAGGTGACGTCGAGTCCGAAGCCGAAGAACACAAGTTCGTTCGTCCCATCTCTTTTGTTTTTCTGTCCGACTCTAGTTATTGCACCTTATTGCACTGCACGCTCGTATTTGGTTTCAAGAGAGATCCTCCCGTTCTCAGTCTTGGTTCATGCAGGAATGCTTTTTCCCCTCAGGATGGATTTTCACCTATGTAGTTGTGTATTTCCTCTACCTACTACCCCTCATACACATCTTGCAAATCTCAATACCGCACTGCGCATCACACCGCTGAAAGAGAAACGCTCGCTCACCGCCTCTTGCGAATTCAAACATATAGACTCGTCCTTGAGACCCTCGCGTCGCTTCCGGGAGAGAGGAAGTGCTTCCGGATGATCAACGGAGTGCTGGTGGAGCGAACGGTGAAGGACGTCGTGCCGGCGCTGAAGACGAATTCGGATGGGCTGAGGAAGGTCCTTGAGGACTTGGTCAAGCAGTATAATAGCAAACAGGTCGAGATGGAAAAGTGGAAGGTCTGTTTATTTCTCCCTTCTTCTTCGTTTGGGGGCCATATGTGCGAGGAGTTCACGTAAGCCAAGTAGCTAACTTTGGGTTGGGTTTGGGGCTGCAGAAAAAGAATAACATTCAGGTGGTACAGCAGCAGTAGAGAGGGGCCTGTTTACATACACTATGGGGTTTGAGGTTTGCCATTTGTGCTCCGCTTGACGACATACAGCAGAGGATGTGTCACGGGGTGGACTGTGGGAGTTACCTACGTCGATTTTTGCATGGCACGCATGAACAGAGTTTGGGAACCTGGGTCATGTGTATGTAGGGCGGTCAATCGATAGATGCCGATCTGTGATGATGAGGATGGGAGAGACGTTCGAGAACATTTCCGCTTTTTTTTTGTCGCCGGGGAAAGACAGAGATGACATCCGGGCGGGTCGAACAGCACACTCTATTGATGCCCAAGAACTATTCTCCACCACATAGAATGAAACCTCCGAGCCGAGAGAAAGAGAGAGAGAGAGAAAAGAGAGAGAGAGAGAGAGAAAGGGAAGGGGGAGAGAAATTCCAGTCGTCTCTACTTCAGAGTGCTGCTGCTGTGCTGTTTTTGTTCTCCTCCATCCCACGAGGATGGTATGGCACGACGTCACATCTTCTTGACTAGTATTACTGCTATTATGGTTCCCAGAGTTCCGCGCTTCCCAGATTGCTGGGACGGTACCTACCTCCCTCCCTAGTTCCTGATGGCACGCGGGACCATTTGACGGAGTAATTGTAGCTGTCCTGATGCGCTGTACCTACAGGCTCGCTTCACTTGGGTCACTCGACGACGACAACGACAACGACAACAACGACGACGACGTCAACAACTCGACGAGGCGGCAAATTAATCTGCAAGGCGCGCCTACCCAGCCCAACGGGAAAGAAAGCCCCGAAAGGCAGCACCGTTTTCCTCATGGTATTGTTGATTTTTGGTGCCCAATCGTTGAGGGCTGTTGGTTTATGATTGGAGGGTGGCATTGGGGGGTGGCAGAGAGAGAGGGAGAGGGAGAGCGATGCGATGTGATGGTCTCACTTTACATCCCCTGCTCGTGCATTGCATTTGCGTTTGCGTTTGCGTTTGCGTTTGCGTTGTAGGGAGGCCACGCGCGTCTGGGGATTGGGAGAGGAGATGGGATGGGGGTTTGGATGATTTCCTGGTGTTCACAGGCTCTCTTTTTTTT